TATTTTTATTACTATTTTTTTTCTCTAACTTGTATAAAAAAAATTTAAAAAATAGAAAGTATCCGTTGGGCCCACTTAGGTCCTCTTGGGCCCGCTTAGGCCCGGGACCTTTAGTTCGTGGTCCCGGGCCGGTTCCAACAAAAAGCCCGCGAAGCCCGGGACCCCTTAGGACCAGCCCGCCTAGAACCGGCCCTTTTAGGACTGGGCCCGCAAAGCTCACTTAGGACTGGGCCCGACCCACATGCCACTCTTAGGCTGATTAGAATTTAGAAATAATATTTTTTTTTTTTGAAAAGGAATTTAGAAATAATCATCTAAAAGCCAAAGACTGAAAATTTCAGGAAATGAAACTTTCTACTAAAACTCCATTCACCAAACCGTAAAAGTTAACCAAAATTTAAGTCGAAAATAATTGTACGATAAATCAATTTACAGAAAAAGAGGACAGGACGTGCTTGTTGCTCAGCAATTGTAATTTCCTTTTGGCTCGAAGTCTGGAAATGAAGTTCTACCGGCCAGTAGCGGAGCCAGGATTTTCGTTAAGGGGAGTCAAAATATAAATAAATAAACTCATCAAGAAATCAAGGGGTGTCATTATATAGTATATATATATATTTTAAAAAAATTTACCAAGCTATACAATGTAATTTTCGACGAAGGGGGTCGGTTGACAGGGGCGGACATACAGTATTATATATGGGTTTTCGGGAACCCAGTAGCTTTTGTGTAGATCCTATATTTGTATTAAGAAATCTATTGAATATATAACAATAATTATATGGGAACCTAGTTCCAAAATACATTTCTGGTCCAATGGTAAATCTTGGAACCCAAATGTGGCCCGCTTCCCTTCTTGTTGATGCAAGTTCGAGTCCCCATAAGTCCTTTTTATTAAACAGACAAAAACTAAAATTTTTGAGCAGTACTTCTACTAAGGGAAAACATCAAACAGACAAATATTGCCTCCCGTCAAGTTAGTACAACTTCCACTTTAGTCTATTTTTTTTATAATAATAGATGACTAAAGTGAACCTAAAAAAAAATAACCACATCAAAATATCCCCAAAACAAAAAAAGAGTTAGGGTTTCGTTCTTCTTCAATCTTGCAAGCCACTGGTTCTTCGACCTTCGTTCTTCTTCAATCTTGACTTTTCTTCTGTTGCCTATCAAAGACAAGCAGTGATCCATTGTAGGTCCTCTCCTTCCTT